GCATTCTTTCCCACCATGGCTCAAGAATTAGCTTAGAACCAGCTGTTTACACTTCATCTGCTAAAATATGTGACTAATGACTGAACTGCCTCTACACAATATAAGGTACATTTAGATCTTCTAATGAGATACTAGAACTCATGGAATGTCACCTACCAAGACCATACTCCTTCAGTAGAAGGGAGGGCATCAATTCAGTAGACAGCGACTCCCGCAGATACTTTACACATGACTTACAGGGCAACATCTGAATGTCAGTGGATTCCTCAAAGGACAACCTGAGTTACCCTTACATACTCTGCTGCATACTTAAAACCAGATGGTACTAACATGGCCTCTTTTGGCCCACATTACTATGAAGAACTCCTACAAATAAAACCACCTTCATCCAAACAATCCTCAACTTCCTCCAGCAGGTTTTTTCAGCCAGTTAGATGGAAATTCTGTAACACAGGACTGTGTCTTGTACCCTGTTTAATTGAAGGTATTATTTCTGTAACAATATAGTTTATGATTCTTACCTTTATCACAGCCTACTACATTCAGGGGCAGAGAAACAGTTTCTATAGTTAGGGGAGTGAAGTAAACTTTATATGGAGTAAATCATAATAATCTTACCCATATTTTGGATGCTTACCGCCTAAAATCAAAAAGAGGTAGAGAAACCTGACCCAAAATTTCTGGGCCCTTTCTCTGTTTATTTGAGTCAGGAGAACTCCCACTACTTTGATTTACGATTCCAAACAAAGTCAGACATAAGACTGATTCCAAAGGCAGCTGTGAAATCTGGATGGGGAAAATTATTCTGTAAAATAAAAGTATTAAAAGTAAGTCAGAGGAAAGACATTTGTTAGCAAGTTACAGGCTTATCCACATAACCCATTGATGCCTCTTGCTTTCAAAAAGTTAATTAACATTGAAGAGAAAAAGTGCTAAATTTCTATGCAATTATATTTCACTCCACTATCTCCTGTATGAGTACTTTGCAAAACCTGCTCAAGTACACTTCTGCACTGTAGCCAGATTTGTAACAGCCCTTTTTAATCTTTGTCTATTAAATCACATTCCTTACACAGAACCACACTGTCCAGCATAACCAGTCTTCCCACTCTACTCACTAGGAGGACACACACAACTCCATGTCAGCCACCTCCCAATCTCTCAGATTTAAAGAGTGAGCTGACAGTAGTTTCCTATCCAAATGAAGGAATCTATTAAAAGCTACTGAAAGCTAAATTCACATGGTACAAAAACAGCACTCCTAAAAGAAAGCAGTTGAGGAGTGTACACCTCACGGAGCAACTCAAACTCATTTTTTTTTTAAGCCTGTTTTTATTGCTTAAAACATTGTTTGATTTTTCCATAACATCAAAATATCACTCTAAAAGATATCATGGAGTATTACTAAGCCAGTTACACTATAAAACACTACAACTATATTAAGCAGCTTATAAGCAATCTAACATATCTTTCACTGTAATACACTAGTACTTGCCAGGAAAGATCTAACAATTAATCCCTTGCATCATCGGGGTAAAAAAAGGCAGCTGGAGTACTCTCTGAAGGCAGCAGCTATTCTAGAACCTGGAACTCTCATTCCTTGCCTGAAATAATTTGTCACTGTAGGCTTTCGGGGCATTCCCCAGGGTCTATCTCCAACCTTTAAAAACAGTCAGGAAAATTTATATAGGGCAACATGGAACTCACGTGATGCTCTAGTTATGACAAGCTGCCTGATAACTATTAAGCGAAAAAGAGAAGGTGTGCATAGATAATAAAATATTTTCCCCTCTAAGTTGTCAGATATTACCAGCCAACCTTCCCCTATTTCTTCTCTGCAGGCCCTTCCTTCTTCCTTTCTACCCTCTTCTCCTGCTCCATAAAAAGAAACTGAAGTCTAGTAGCTCAAACCAGACAGACATTCTCATATGCTATAGACAGATACTCTTAAGCACTTACACATCTGCTCTTTTATAGAAATAATCCTAAATTTGATTTTTAAATTCAGATACAAAGTTGTTACAGTGCATTTGGAACAAAAAATGATTCAGCATTAACGTTAACAGAAGCAAGTTGCTTTTTCCTCCCCATTTACATAATTCCAGCACTTCTTCTAAGCAAGCTTTATTCATCCTTCTTTAAGCAGCACAAGCTGTTCCCATTATGAGGAATGCTATGACCTTCCTAACTCCTTATAACTGTGTACTACAAACACATTAGTTAGTACAGGGCACTTGTCCAGCATTTCCATTCCCACTTTTAAAATGAGTAGTGAAATAATGTTTGGAAAAATATTTATGACTGTGGTCAATATGTCTCACATTGTTCTTTCAACACTTCAAATGGAGTCAGAAGCAAGAGTTGCTTGAATAACTGTATTCAGCAGCTAGCTAGGTAGGTACTAGATAAAACAAGTATTTTAGTGAGTTTTACCATGCTGAAGTCACTTACAATTCATCCCATTTAATCAAGTAGAAGAAGTTCTTGTATGTGCCAACCTTCTTGGACTGAACAGGTTTAAACAGATCTTTTCCATTATGGGTCAGAGAACAAATCAAGTAGTATTTTTCATAACTGGACAAGGAAAAGAAAGTAAATTAAACAAACAAAAAAACCACCACTATAAAAAAGATGAATTTTACAATTATTAAATTACTCACTTTGATACCCAAACAGGGGAAATTCCATGAGCAGCAAATATTGTGAACTGGAGATGTTCTGTGGCAGTCCATGCTTCCTTGGTATTCTTACTGTCTTTTGGAGAAATTGCTGCAGAACTGCTACACGAATTCATGTGGAGTCGCAGGAGGGCCTCAACTGCTCTTGTCAACTGGTCCAAGCTCGCTTTCAGAGTGTTTTCAGGCTGTAGTGAACCTAAATTTTAATTTATCTTTAATTTGTATCTTCCTAAAATAGCCACCTGAAAGCAGTTTTTAAACAAAATTGAAGAACTTTACTCACCAGATGAGCTCTTGCTAGAGTCATTGCCACTTTTTAAGGATACCTACACAGTAAAGATAAGAACAAATTTCAATACCAAGGATCCACATCTGAATTAGGCTCATCTTTGGGGTTATCTAATGTTTTTTACTGAAAGCTCCTTAAGAGTTAACTGACAGCATTAGAATTCCCCTATCATCCAGCAACTATTCACCAAGTTCAAAAGCTCATGTTTTCTCAAGTCACAACTATTTTGATACTCTTTGTGAGCTCTCAAAAGACACAATACATAGAGAAACCTGAGAAATATTCCAAACTTTTGAGTAGAGATAAAACTCAGGCAGAACTATTACAGTTGAAAGCAGAAACTGTCAGCTCTATTACCCAGTAATTTAAGCCTGAATAGCTGTTTTATGGCATTTGTTGAGGTATCTTTTGTATGCAGAGTTACTGTAAATTTACTGAATAAAAAAAAAGGTTAAACAACTGAGAAAACTGAACAGTAAGTACTGTCACTTTGTACTATCTGCTGTGTTTGCTCCTCGGTCTGTTGAAGTGGAAGTCTAAACATGATACAGGACTACAGCAATGTCTAGTCTCAACAAGGGCACCGTTGAAACCAACAGGTAACAAACAAATTTACTCCCTTCTAATAAGAAGGGTTTCATGCCAAATTCAACTTCTGATGAAACTAAAACTGTTAATGAAAACTAAGTTTCTAATTTAAAACCAAAACCCAGTGAATTCCTAATACTTCAGAGAAAGCCTAAGAAGTTTGCCACAACTGCTGCAGAAGAATGAAAGTTCTCCTTACGCTTTTAGTGTATTAATTGAGCATCTTGTCAACATTCAAGTTTTACCTACCAAAAAACTTCACATTCTTATAAAAACACGCAGAAACTTACGGGGGGAAAAAAAAAAAAAAAAATCACACATTTTTCCCCTTTCGGAAAAACTGCCATATGTTTCCACCATACTTATCAGGTAGTTCAAGTACTTTGGATGACAGGATGCAAACTGTTGAAACAGCACTACGCATGTAATTTTCTACTTGACAATTTACTGTACTCTTTTACTTTTTGGCCACTTCTTCCAACGACAAAACAGTTACTTAAAAATGTTTAAAAAAGTAAAAAACCCAAATGATATCTTACATAAGGTTTAGATGCAACTAGCTCCAATCTTTACAGCAATTTCATTTCTGAAAGCAATTCTATATGCCTTCATACACATTACTGTTTAAGCCAGTGTTAATCACCAGAGATCTAGGCTTTTACTGAAAAAGTAGTACCTTTTTCAAATTCTACTGGGATAACGTTATTTTTAGAAGATATTTTTACACTGTAATCTGATTATTTCTACAGCTTTCTCCTATCAAAAAGCAAACATTGAAGAAATATTTGATATGCTGAATTTCACTAAGTTATCACCACTCAAACCATACCACCCAAATCACAGAGGATGTTGGTTGGGTCTGGGAGAGTGAAGAACCACCCAGGGTAGGAGTAGATCAGGTCCAGGAACACCTAGAGAACCTGAAGGTGCACAAGTCCATGGGACCTGATGAGACACATCCATGGGTCCTGAAGGAACTAGTGGCTCAAGTTGCTAGGCCACTAGCCATCACATTTGAGAGGTCCTGGCAGTCTGGTGAGGTTCCTACAGATTGGAAAAGGGCGAACATAACCCCCATCTTTAAAAAGGGACCAAGGACAACCCAGGAAACTACAGACCAGTCAGCCTTATCTCTGTGCCTGGTAAAATCATGGAACAGATTCTCCTGGTAGCTGTACTAAGGCACATAAAAAATAACCAAGTGGTTGGTGACAGCCAACATGGCTTCACTAGGGGCAAGTCGTGCCTGACTAATTTAGTGGCCTTCTATGACAAAGCTACAGCGCTGGCTGACGTGGGTAAAGCAACAGATGTTGTTTTCCTGGACTTGTGCAAGGCGTTTGACACTGTCCCACATGACATCCTTGTCTCTAAAATGGAGAGACACGGATTTGACAGATGGACCACTTGGTGGATAAAAAACTGGCTGGATGGTCGCACTCAAAGAGTTGTGGTCAATGGTTCAATGTCTACATGGAGACCCGTGTCAAGCGCTGTTCCTCAGGGGTCTGTTCTGGATTCAATGCTGTTCAACATCTTTATCAGCGACATGGATGATGGCATTGAGTGCACACTAAGTATGCCGATGACATCAAGTTGTGTGGTGCCATG